GAAAGAAGCCAGGTAAATTCAGCAAAAACAAATTCCCAAAATCCTACATGGGGAGGCTCAGAAATGTAAAGGACATCATTTCATTTGGACTCCAATTATAAATGCCACTATTCCCTTGCTGGGACTGAGAGCCCAAGCCACCTACCTATCATACAGGTAGAGAAGAGGAAAAGGAGGTAGAACCTGAGTTGCCCAGAATAATAAACAAAGTATGATGATATTCGTTAGATACACAATACTGAAGATGACCCATGCAACGGAAATACAAAAGAGACACATTATCACCTGTCACAACAAAAGCATCAGTGGACAAAAGGGCACAGCCACCCATAGACTGTAAGGGTTGCCACAGGAGTAAAAGCTACAGAACTAGCTTCTACAACCGCTGAAGAAAACCCTGACTTCGGAGAGGAAAAGAATGAACACACTTCAGATTACCTTTGATCAATGTCAACATCATAGTGAGTACCTCAAAGGAAGATACAAATCGCAGTACTATTAAATGGCATAAAGAAGGGAAAGTCACATAAGCTAGTAACTGTATCAGGCTCTGGCCTTGGGGTGGTGGCCACACTTAGGCATTAGATTCAGATAACTCAACTGCAAAGCCAAGTGATGGCTCATTCAGTGCCTAACACAGGACAGCATGAACCAGGGAGACATCAGAAGAAAATGCTGTTTTTCTCAAAGTTCTTCAATGTGAAAATGGTCTGTTACATATAAATGCTATGTTCCATGCATGCTACCTAGTATGCAGTGCTGCTGTTCTGACACATGCTAAGCATTCCAATCACATGTCTACCTAAAGTTACATCTAGTCACATTAAGAGTGACTGTACTTTCTTACATGTGCACACACCCAAACACACACCCACCCCACAGTCGGGCAGAGAGCTCTAAATGCCTTTCCCAGTACACCCTCCACCCTCTTCACCTTCCCCACTCCTGCAGGAAGGAAAAAGCTCCACAGGATAGCACACTATTCAAGTATTTTTGTAATATTACAATACACAAAAATTAAAATTCAGAAACGGTTTATAAATAAGACTTTATTAAAGTCAAGTACAGACAGACTGACTGTCATTTACACAGAAAGCTAACAAGATCCACTGTGGTCTTGGACAAAGTCACTGAAGCCCACAGGTCCCTGCACACAGCAGACATCCAGGAAAGAGTTCCAGAGTGAACAGCTGAGTAATGGAGTACAGACAGAGCAATGACTTCAGAAGAGCAGACACTAAGACACCACCGAAGACTCGATGGGCACAACTGTGGGAGGCCAAGAACTTGAGAGCCCTCTTCTATTACTGTTCCCACAAGGCACAAAAAAGGAAGCATTCTCCCAGCTGCCACGAACAAGACATAAGGAACAGGACAAAGTAATGAACAGGGAATGGGCTCAAAAGTGGCTACCTCAAGATCAGAAAGAATTCAAATCCCACCAGCACACGGACTAACACCTAGAATGGACCATTTTAGGGGGAAAAACTAAAACCACCGAGGCCTGAAAACTAAAAAAACAGAAAATGTGGCTGAGGTGGACATGGTACCCCTGGCTTGTGATTCCAGCATTCAGAAGGCTGAGGCAGGAGGACTGATCCCCAAATTCAAGGCCAAGCTGTTCTACACAGCAAACTCTAGGCTAGCCTGAGCTACAGAACATGACCTGTCTCAAAAAGACAAAACACTAAAAATTTTGATAAGTAAAAAGGATGAAAATGTGGCTAAGTATGACATAAGCTGGTCTCCATGAGAAAGAGTGATGCTACTCTTTTAGAAGGGAAAGCTGACCCAACCTGACCTTGAGGAGAAGTCGATGTGAACATGTCAACATGCAGAATGCACTCAAGAGTGAGATGAAGAAACCAAACATTTCCAAGAACAGGGTAAGTCAGGTCTTCAAGGAGACAAGAGAAAAAGATCATTTGGCTTTTCCCAAAATGTTAATGAATTAGAGGGGTAGAAGAGAAAATTATGTCTGGACAGAAAGATGCAAAGAAAAACAGCAAAGTGATTAAGAAAACCAGGGTAACCCTGTACAAGGCAGGAGAAAAGAGCTGATTTCTAACCATTCAGAGCCCAGCCACCCCAGCCACCCAGTAAGAGAAAGCCCACTTAACTCAAGCCTAACTTGAGACAGTCAGGCTCCCTGGTGGACAGTCCGTGTGAGGGGCATTCTGCTGGACAGTGACAACTCCCAAGGGTAGTTGGTGGCCTGGAGAAGGGCAAAGAGTCAGGACCAGAAACAAGACAACTGTCCTGAGCCCATGCCAACACACACAGAAGGCATTCAACTCATTTACCCAAGGCTAATACCCTAGAAACAAACAAGCCCCCCCTCCCCATCTAACAAGAGGCACAGGACGAAAAAGCAGCCTGAAAATGGAAGACACACAGACACACACAGGAAAAAAAAAATCAGACCAAATTCTGGTGGTGGATATCATACTGAAAAGCACAAACTGACACATTCCCTTACTTGGGAAATCAAGGTAGATAGCTCCCGTAGTAGAAAAAGTGCTTCAAGAGCTCACACATACTCTCGCAAACACACAGACTCAGGCACACAAGCAGAGCTGGATAGAGGGTGAGGCTCCACACTAGGCCTGTTAAAAAGTAAGACTTCAGTGCTGAGTAAAAATGCAAGAGACAGGGCAGTGAGGCCCCTGAGCAGAGCTGGAGCAGCTGGGCTCTCGACACTCACCAGCCTCAGAGAGAGGAAGCTGGGAAAACCCTGCCACTTCCCAGGGAGTGGCAAGCCACTTTTCCAAAGGCACATTCTCCTAACTTCACAACGTCTCTCCCTTCATTGGCTGAAATACAACAGGGACACACTTGGAGACATCAGTTCCCAGTTCTATCAGGGAGAAGCAAGAGCTTCTCCGATTCCCATCATTTTCCAAAACACAGGAAATCTTTCTCCTACACTGCAGTTAAAAAAAAAAAAACAAAATAGTAAGAATACTAACCCTGAATTCCAGACGGAAAGGTCTGGGCACTCATCAGAAAGCACCCCACACAGGGGAGAGGTGAGCACTCTGGGTGGCATTCTGCTTGTGCAGTACAATACAAATGGCAAGGGAAGGAGGGGTGACAAATGGCATTCGTCAATGGCACCTGACTCTTCCAAGTCTGAAGTCACCAATAACGTATATGGATATGTATATATAAACCCCACCACTCTGGGCATAGAGCTGTTATCCGACCCTTCTCACTTTCTCGGTGAACGTACAGAAGAGAGAAGAGTGGCTTGTGTGTGTCAACAGTTGTGTAGAGCATCACAATTTCTGTGATGCCAAAGAACCACAAAAGAGAGAGAGAGAGAGAGAGAGAGAGAGAGAGAGAGAGAGAGAGAGAGAGAAAGTCCCCTTTGCCTGAAAGGCACAAGATCCCACTAGAGATAGACCAGGGCAAAGGAAGGCGCTGGTACAACAGGGAGCACACAAGCTACCTCTTCTCAAATGGCATGTGGGCGACGAGGGTGTCTACACTCCCGATTCTGGATATAAAGGCATATGGCTTCTCCTTACCCAGCCAACATGAATACAATTTGAGAAAATTAGAAAAAGTCAAGGTAACAGGCTCACTAAATATGGCTGACTGGGAAACAGAAGCCATAAGGAGGATGTGAGTTCTCTCTCAAAAAAAAAAGGATTGAGAAGAAGTTTATTTCCAAGAAAGATTCAAAGACTGCATGAGATGGGACGAAAAAAGTACGGTTCTTACTGCTCAGGAGACAAGCGTCAGAGCACAAAGTCCAAGGGCACATGACCCCTTTCCCAGCGGGTTGTGTTGATGGGTGAAGGGTGCCCCCTAAGATCCAAAAGTGAACGGGGAGCAGCAACAGAAAGGAGTAATTCCTGAGGTCTCTTTTCACTCAAGTGGTAGACACCTCGGAAGCCCTGCCTGCCCTACATCTTACTGGGGCGCCCACCCTGGTCCAGACAGGGAACTCCAAGGAGAGAGACTAAGGAGAGGAGCAGTGGAGCGTCCGGTTTTCCCCACGAGAAAGAGGGCAACTCGAAGGGTATTCGGGAAATGAGCTCACCCTAACCCGGCAAAGTGTGCGGAGAGTGTAGACCTGGAAAAAGTGTCCGCCTTCCTATTTAGAAATGACTTCAGAGCTGCACAGGGCCCCACGAGCCACTGGGCGAGCAAAGAAGGAAGAAGAGCACGGATAGCCCGAGTCCCCTTGTCCTGGCGAAAAAGGGTAAAGCCAGCGTGCAGAGGCTGCGCGGCCCCCCGAGAGTCCCCGGGAAAGGGGGACAGGCTCACACGGAAGCCTCCGTGCTCGGCGAGGATCGGGGTCACGGAAGGTAAAGGGCAAGGCGGTGTGGAGACCCCACCCTCTCGGCAGCGAGGGAGCAAGGGCAAGAGTGGAAGAGCACGCCGCGAGGGGCGGGGAGGCCGCACGAGGCCCCCGGCCGTGCCGGGGGAGGGGTCGCCCGGGGCCTCGGCCGAGGGGCGCTCGGCTCGAGGGGGGCCCCCTGGCGGGGACCCGCGCGGGGACACCCCCGGGCCGGCGCTAGGAGGCGCCTCGCGGCCCGAGGGGGGCTGTGGAGGGGAACGTCCGGCCCTGACGCCGCCACGGCCGCCGGCACCGGTGACCGCGAGACCCCGCGGCCCGGGAAACTTTCCTCCCCGCGGCCCCCGGACGCCCGGGCCGGCGCGGCGGGAATGCCCCGGGCCGGGTGCGGGAGGCGCCGCGGCTCCGGCTCCTCCTCCCTGGGCCCGGCCCCCGCCCCGCGCGCCCCGCGCGCCCCCCGCCCCGGCCTGCCGCCCCCGGGGCTGGGTGCGGGGCGCCGCGCTCGGCCGGCCCGCGAGTCACCTCAGGACTCGGCCGCGCTCCGCCCCCCCACCCCGCCGGCGCCCTCCCCGCGCCCGCCGCGCCCCCGCGCTCGCGCCCCGCGCCGCCGATGCCCGGGATGTCCGGCGCGGCCACGGGCCCGCCGCGCCGCCGCCACCCTGACAGCCCCGGGCCCTCGCGCTCCGGCTCTCACCTTCCGGCTTGTTTTCGGCAGCCATTTCCCCTCCGCGCGCCACATCCTCCTCCTCCTCGCGACCGGGACCCCGAGCGCGCGCCTCGTACCGCCGCCGCCGCCGGCCCAGCCACCCCGCCGCCGCCGCGCACCCGCCCTGGCCCCGCCCCGCGGCCCACGCACAGCGCCCATTGGGCAGCGCGTCTGCCAGTCGCGGCTCCTGCGACCAATCGAGCCGCACCAGGGGTCTCACTACTCTCCGGGAGGAGCGTCCTATCCACCCAGCCCATTGGCTGGCCACCACCGCACCGACTAAAGTGATTGGCCTTGAATCAACGCCCCCTCCCCACCCACTCCCAGGAAAACCCGCCCCCCAGACCTAAACAAAGCTTCCTAGTGGCCAGGGGCCGCAAGGACGGCCCAATCAGGACGAGCCTGACACGGAATATTTCCTCGAGGCCGAGACGTAGTGTTTTGATTGGGCGTCACAACAGTGTTTCCCAAGCCGTCCAGACCAATCAAAGGGGGTTCCCGGAACTCGGGAACGGCTGTGGGAAGCCCCGCCTCCCAGCGTGACCGTCATGAGGAAGGCGCTCGCTCATTGGCGCGCTGGGGCTTTTCCCGCGTGCTCCCGGAGCTGAAGGACGTTCCCGGGGAAGCCGCTGCCGGCGCGTGGGGGTCCCGGTGTCTGAGGGAGACACGCCGGATCGCCGGGATCCCGCAGCCTGCGGCGCGGGCCGGGGGCAGCACTGTCGGGGGGGGCAGGACGCGAGGCGCCCGGGCGTCCCCGAGCCCTTCGGCGGGGAGTCCGGGCGTCGCTGCCCGCCGCGGGGGAGGGGCGCGCCTCCCGGCAGGCCCCGCCCCTCGAGCCAGCCCCGCCCCTTCCTGGCCTCCGATCCCCGCCCCCTCGGCCGGCGCTGCGTCCCCGCGGCAGCCCTACGCTCCCGCCCGCCTTGCGTTTCTCTGTCCCCTTTTCTAGCGGCTTAAAATACTGAAACTTTATTTTGGTCACGTTGTCCATGTGACCGGCGGAGCCGATGAGTCATAGGTGCCTGTCCCAAGCTGCAGCCGCGGATTCGGGGCTCGGAACGCTCGACCTCGGCTAGCCTAGCTAGTGGCTCCCGCGCTCCCGGCACTTCAGTCGGATTCCGGCCGCAGCTCCTCGCAGCTCTCCTGGAAGTAGGGGATTCGCAAGCCCCGCAGACACAAATCCCCCGGGCCAGCCAGGAGAGCTGCAAAGTGCTACGCCCTCTTCCACGGAAATTCAGGGCTTCTGCACGTGGCCAGAAAAGAAAGAGCAGAGGACGGAAGGAGGGAGGAAAAGGGCAGAGTGTAGGAATTCCGCACATGGACAGAAAAAAGAGGGGGCGAGGAGGAGGGGAGAGCTGCAGGAATTCTGCACGTGCACCCAAGGGAACGCAGGTTAATGAATAGCAGCCGAGCTCCAGATTCCTCTGTAAACTTGCACTGTTTGATTCCTCAACATCCTTTTCCCACCGTTTGCTGCTAGCAGAAGCACCGAAAAGTCGATCGAGTGTTTTGGCGTTAGGATTGATCGTCAAAGCCAGTCTCTGCCAATCCTAACAACATGTGTTCTTTTTCTGGTGCTCGCCGCGGAGAACTGCTTAGGTTGTTCCAAAAATAAAGATGTCCCAAAAGAATGGTTTGTATTGTGTACTCATTCTTCAACAAACTTTAATTTTATAAGCCTCAAAAAAAGGCGAAATTTTAACAACTAGGGTACAGTATTTTATTGATTAGCATTCTTAATAGCACCTGTGTTACCTCTGGAAACGCTGGTGGCATTGTAAATTAGTATAACCCTTTCAAAAAGCAATTTCACGGTATGTATTAAAAGCCATAAAAATATCTACGTCTTTTGACCTGGGAATCTTATTTCTGAGAATCTGTTGTAAGGAAATAAAGCCGCCACGTGAGAAAGAGCTAGGAGTATGAAGATATTCTTCACTGATCACTGTGTTTGTTACAAGAACGTGAACCGCGGAGGCTGGGGAGATGGCCCAAGAGTCAGAAGCCCAACCTGCTCTTTCTGAGGATGCCAGTCTGATTCCCAGCACCCACACTGGGCAGATCGCATCTACCAGTGACTGCAGCTCCGCAATCGCCTGCACTCATGTGCACACCCCTCACACACAGTTAACAATGTAAAGAGTGGGCACATCCCAAAGTGCTAATGTTGGCCGTTTAACCTGTGAGTCGTGCTTAGCCACCCAGTGAACACTGTACACTAGTCACATGTCAAAACGGACAAACTCACCCACTGCTGGAGGTGTTCATTTACAAACATAATGGAATGATAGCTAGCTAATACTGCATTCGAAAGCTAAGGATGCTGCTCGTTTGGGAGAGGGCTTTGCCTAGCATGTGTGAAGCTTTAGATTTCCTTCCCCAGCAGCAAATAAACCAAGTACGGTGGCAAAAGCAAAGAACTCCAATACTCAGGAGGCAGAAACAGGAGGGTCAGAGACAAGTCAAGGTCGCCTCCAGCTACATAGTGAGTTTATCTCAAAAGAGCCACACACAGAAATGATATTTAAGAGGCCAGAGTATTACTTTACTGTCTCTATTTTCCATAATATAGCCACAATGTGGTTCCGTTGCTTTTTTATACTTGAAGTTAAAACCTCAGTGAAGACATAGGTGCAAGGCTGGCATGGTAGCTCATGCTTACAGCCCCAACACTGCAGAGGCTGAGGCACAAGGTGAGCCTGGGGCTGCAGAGGGGGCTGAGGGGTTAAGAGCGCTTTGTGCTCCTGCAGAGGACCTGGGTTCAGTTCCCAGCATTCACATGGTGGCTCACAACTGTCTATAACCCAGTTCTGGGAGATCTAGCACACTCTGGCCTCAAAGGACACTAGGCACAAGGTGCACGTAGAAAAATGCAGGCAAAACAAACACATAGAATAAATAATAATGGTGATGATGAGATAGGTTTGCTAACTGTGTGTAGTAGCAGATACTCAGGGCCCAGGGCTGCCTCGTTTTCTCTAGCCTCTGATGCTGTTGATTTGTTTTATTTTGGATTCCCATTTGTATTTGGTTGGGGTGTTAAATTGGGGGGTTTTTGTTGTGGGGAGAGGGAGGGAGGGAGGATGAGGGAATGTGGTTGTTCATGGTCTCCCTTCTCCTCTCCCTTCCCCTCCCTGCCCCTCTCTCTTCCCCCCTCCCTTCCTCTCTCCTCCTCTCTCCCTCCCCTCCCTCTCCCTCTCTCTCTCCCCCTCCCTCCCCCCTCCTTCTCTCTGCCTATTGACTTAAGGCAGGCTCTTTCCCTGAAGCTTGCTGTTTCAGCCCCTCTGCCTGGCCAGTGTGTGCTCTTGGAACCCTGCCCGTGCCCCCAGTGTACACTGCAGGCATGCACAGCCATATACAGCTCTTTGCACGAGGGCTGGAAAACTGAGACCTGTTTCCAGCCCGAGCCTTTCCATTTTCAAACAAGGAGAACAATATACTTTTCTTTAAATATTAAGCCATGGGATATCATGTAGCCATCTTTATTTACTTATTTTAAAAAAAAAAAAAATTATCTATTATGTACACAGTGTTCTGCCTGCTTATATGCCAGTGCACCAGAAGAGGGCACCAGATCTCATTACAGATGGTTGTGAGCCGCGGTGTGGTTGCTGGGAATTGATCTCAGGATTCCTGGAAGAGCAGCCAATGCTCTTTACCTCTGAGCCATCCCTCCAGCCCAATGTAGCCATCTTTAAAACAAAGGTAAACCAATATCTACCAACTGAGAGGTCTCCTGCTCAAATGATTAACTGGGAAAAAAGCGTTGAGCTTAATGATGCTGTTCTCACAGAAACACAGATATTTCTGTGAGTACAGAGTTTCCCAACAACAGCGAAGGGCCCTGCTCTTGCAGGAAACCCAGATTCAGTTCCCAGCATCAACATGGTGGCTCACAGGCCTCTGTCATTCCAGTTCTAGAGGATCTAGTGCCCTCTTCTGGCTCCTTGGGCACCAGGCATGTATGTGCATATACATACACACATACATATGTACAAGTGTACCTATGTACATACATACACTCATACACATAAAATAGGAGTAAAAAAAACGAATGTATTCCCTTTAGTTACCTTTGAGAATGGAGCAGAAATAAGGTGAGGGCCCTTTGTTTGATATGATTTAAATTTATTTACCATGTGCATTCATACTGAGGGGCACTTATGACATTCCAGATATCAGTTCCACGTTGGGGACTCAACAAAACATGCTAAAACGCCTGCCCTGCTGGAGGGGACATTGAAAGATAGATAATAAGCATGTAATTTGTGGTTGAAGGTAGCAATTGAAGGCTATTAAGTGCTTGTAGAAAAATAATGAAAGTTCAGTTTTGTGTTGTTTGTTTTGGTTTGGTTTGGTTTTTGGTTTGTTCGTTTGTTTGTTTGTTTTGGAGAAAATGGGTCATAGAGGTACTCTCTGGGTCCTGTAGGAAACAAGAGTAGTAGCAATTATAGAGTGGTTGGGATAATGTTTTACACAGAGGAACCAGCATGAGCTGAAACCAGGCCAAAGCACAGCCCGCTGCTCTCTGTGGGGATACTGGGTTTTATTCTGAAGGTTCTTGCAAGCCAGCATGGGGGTAGGTCTTCAGCTCAGGGTGTTATCTTACTGGTGCTTTTGAAGGATCCTTCTCCAGCCAAATGGAGACTGCACCTCCACGCCAGACACAGAGAAATATGTAGGAAATGATGGCAGACCTCTGGCTCCATGGTGGAGTCCGCAGGGGGTATCATTTCCCTGGACATGTCCTAACAACTTCCCTTCATGTCTTAAAACAATAGAAGTGTGTTCTGTTACAACTGTGGAAGCCAGAGTCCAAAATGAGTTTCGCGAGACCAAAGTGACAGTGTTAGCAGCCCCACAGGCTAAGAAGGATCCTTGCTGGCTTCTTCCAAAGCCTAGAGTGTGGGGGTTGACCATATCCATCCTCTCTCTGTCTCTCTCTCTGATTTTATGTATTTATTATCTATACAGTCTTCTCTCTGTGTGCCAGCAGAGGGCACTAGTTCCCATTGAAGGTGGTTGTGAGCCACCATGTGGTTGCCCAGAATCAAACTCAGGACCTCTGGAAGAGCAGTCAGTGCTCCTAACCACTGAGCCATCTCTCCAGCTGCCCACACTCATCCTCTCCTGGTCT